AGACTCCCCCTGGTTTTTGGAGAGACCAGCTCTACGTTTGCCATGATGACCATTGCTTGTTTTGAGGCACTCAGAATTGGCATTTTATTGTACTTACTGGTATATGCCACACAAGAGGTACTGCACAAAACTTGTATGTTCACTCAGAAGTGACAGGGTATGTCACATACAGTTCTTCAATCTAGATCTAATTTGTGACCCAAAATGTCTTTACTGTGCAAAAACTACTATCTGTATGGGCAAACACCAAAGGGTACCTGACATGTTGTCGTCTTCCTCTTCTTGTTGCCTCCCCATAACCTTTAATAGAGTCACCAAAAGCACCAATTATCTACAAAAGAAGAGGCTAGAATTGTCAGAAGGTATCACATACAAACAGATATTCTGGTATCAGCTCACACCCCTGCTAGGAATGCATTTTCTTTTAACAAAATGCCCTTTCTGAGTCTAGAAGAGTTTACGAAAGAAAACAGTGTTAAGGAAAATTCCTCTGTATTCCACTCCTTTACAGTCAAATATTAAACATTTAAAATAAATCCTACTAATATCTTCCATTTCACAGAGTATTCTGAGTTGAAAGGGACCCACAAGGATCATTGAGTCCAATTCTTATGTGAATGGCCCATTATGGGTATCAGATCTGTGACCTTGGTGTTATCAGCACCATGCGCTAAGCAACTGAGCTAATCTTTTACTGTCCTCTGAGATGAAGATGTGTAAACTGACATTTTGTGTAAAAAGGAAAAAAAAGCATGAAATATTTGTTCGTGTCTCCTCCAAGAGAATATTTCAAAGTTTAAAATGCAAATGCATTCCCCTTCACATTATCTAAAAAACACTACTGTTGAAGAAATTCAGGGTTTTTTTCAAATCTATAGCGCCAGAGCAGATTAACCTAGTTTTAAACTTACTTTAAAGTTGATTAGAAAGGGAGGGTAGGTTTTACTGTGCAAGTACTGGCGAGAAGTTTTAATTCTACAAACTTGTTCCAAAGCAGTCATAATTTTTTTTCTAGTGACAACTCGTCACTTCATTTCTAGGTTATCCTCAGTGGCATCTGAAGCAACCTTGTTTGAAAGCTATTGCATGCATTTCTTGTTTTGCCTGAAGTAGTGGTTTTTAGAATCTAGTTTTAGATTGATTTTTGTTTACACCTAGCTATGATGACTGTGTGATCCCATGATTGTTCTGCATCTCTTTTCCTGTTAGCCACGGGAATGCTAACCGGAGGAAGAGTTTACATTTCTGGGTATCTATCTATTCAGTGTTTCACAGAATGACAGAACCATAGTGAAGTGTCACAACAGAATAACTGTGTGAGAAAAGGCAGCAGGCTAGATTTACAGAACTTAAGGGGGACCAGTTGCCTCTGTGGCCTGCAGAACTCCTTACGTACTACATGTAGCAGGTACTCAGGTACCTCTGTAAGACTTTCTGCATGTAGGCACAAGCACATGCTCTGAAGGGCAGACTGTATTTGCATCAGTTTTTGTGTTGTGGCACACTCACTTGCCTTCCAGCAGGCTAATTCACGCAGGCCCAATGCTTGCATTGACCTGTCCTAACACAGGCTCCAGTTTGACGCTGACCCACCTCTGGCCAGCTAAAAGCACCTGCAGATCTTTTAAGCACCACATGGCTTTTCCCACAGCTTGGCTTGTGAGATTCCTTGCACAAACTTTTGACTTGAAAAGAGACAGTAACTACTGAGAAACATAAACATGACTGAAGTCCAAAAACTAACCTGAGGATGAGATCTGCATTTCTCCAAGGCATCTCCATAGATCTTATTTGGACTAGAAGAAGAGAATAGCTCTTTAAAAATCACGTAGAACAAACCACCTGTAACAGAAATAACAGTAAATGGAATGAAAACTTACCAAACCTGACGGAATTTATAAAAAGTGTCTTCTGATAAAGAATGTAATCATAAAAAATAACCTGTAACACCAATTCCAACAAGCACCACAATAAAATAGGTAAAGTCTCTTCCAGCTTCTTTCACTGAAATAAGACAGAAAACAACACAGAAGTTACAACCTTGGATAATAAAACTTGCATAGCTTTCTCACGTAAATGCTCTTCTATTAGTCTGCAGCTCAAATGACATTTTGGCAGGAGAAAAAATTCCAGGAACAGTTTCCATAATGTCTCATCACTATAAGTAAGAGACCATGAAACATCTCTTATATTGTACAGGACATGTTTATATCTCTGTGTTAAGCCTTATTATTTTTTCCTACTAGATGATTTCAAGATCCAAAAAAAGTACTTACTGCTATTTTTTTGGGTACGCGAGAGCTAGATTTTTTAAGAACTAATGAGGTATTTAGCACCTAAACCCACAATTATTGCAATTCTCATGTACAGAATGGGAAAAGTAAAAATACAAAAGCTTATAAATTGCACACACTGAAAATAACTTTTATAAATTACTAATCAAGAGAACAATAAAAAGGAGGAATATTAGACCAAAATATGTTTTATTTATTAACATCTTTAACTACTGTTTATCTGAATAGTTTTTATCTGTCAGGTTTGATCTAAAGTATTAGTAAAATTATAAGTATACACTCCAAAAAAAGTCACAAGAGATTCTCTGTTTCAAAATATTTTTTGAGAACTTGAAAAGAGATTACTAATCTTTTAAAGTGATAAAGTGTGCCTTTCAGTTAAGCACAAGTTACCGAGGAAACTTTAATAATCATTTCTCCTGCAGTCTCCTACTCAGATGAAGGTATTTTTCATAAACCATTTCAAAGCACTCAGAATTTCTGAGTCTAATTATGTAGTAATCACTTTTCACTGAAGTGAATGACACCACCCAAACTGACGGCAGTCCAATAAAGAAACTAGTATCACACATAGAGCTTTGAGAGCAACTCCATAGAGAAACTAGTATCACAGATAGAGCTTCGACATTTTTGCTGGAGGTGAACTTGTTTCAGCAGCAGTGAGACAGGCTGCATGTGACAGGTTTCTCTTTTGAAAAGGAAAACGAGAGGCTACTTCACCTTGTCCCTGACGTGACCTGAACACTAAATCTGTTCTGTGGCTGTTTGGAAGAAGCCACACAGTGTGTTCTGGTTGTGCTATGCATACACTGAAAGGTACCAACTGCTCAAACAGTACGATGTGAAAAGAAACCGGCTTGGTAGTTTTCAGAGATTCGGTGTGTTGTGGGTTTTTTTCAAATACTTGTGTTTTGGGACTACAAAACCAGAGCTGCAGCAGGAAGTTGTCTCCGCAACAGCCTCTCTGAGCAGCGCACAGCATCCTCCTCACTGTGACTGCCGCTCGCCTTACCTTTCTGAGCAGCCGACAGCAGCGTTTCCTCGTTCCGCGCCCTTTGCACGGACACATCTTTGCTATTTTCTCCAGGTTTTTCAGCTCTCAGCCCTCCCGCCTGCGTCCCGATACTCTGCCGGGCGGGCCGGAGCAGCAGCGGGGGCTGGTGCCGCCACCTCAGGCAGGACCCGGTTCCCATCCCCGCCCCGGTCCCCGTCCCCAGCAGCGCCCATCCGCGGGGGGCGAGCAGCCACCTCCCCAGGCATGTCCGCCCGAGGGAGGCGGGCAGCATCCCGGGCACGGCTCCCCGCCGGCTTCACGGCGGTACGGTGGGGGCAACCGAGCCGAAAGGAAAGTTCCTGCCGCTCGCCACGCTCTCCCGGGGGACCCTCAGGGAAGAGCCAGGGCAGCCTCCCGCCCCGAGCGGCAGGTCAGGAGCCCCACTGACCCTTTACCGCCGACAGCCGCCACCCGCCATTGCCCCGGCGGAAATGTTTGGGACGGCGAGCGGCAGCGGCGAGCCCTGGGAGCGGTAGTTTGGGCGGGCTCCCTCTCCCGCCCGCCGCCGGGAGCGGCTCCCAGAGAGGTCACTACAGCGCCCGCCATGCCCAGCGCCGCCGCAGCCACAGCACAACCGCGCTTGGGGAGGGGGGGAGCCGCCGTCTCGCTTAAGGGGGCTCAGGGAGGCTGCTCAGAGCGTTCTTTTTATGTGTGTTTTTCTTGGTCTGGCACACACAGGTGTGTAAAAGCGCTGCAGTTGACGTTTGCACGAATGGAGACCGGAAGAGACCAACGTTATGTCGTTCAACAAGACCAAGTGCCGGGTCCTACAACAAGTGCCCGGGCCACAACAACCCCAGGCAGGGGTAGAGGCTGAGGGCAGGGTGGCTGGAAAGCGACCCAGCGGAAAATTATTTGGGGCTGCTAATCAGGCGACTGAAAAGAGCCAACAGTGTGCCATGTGGCCAAAAAAGCCAATACCATCCTGGCTTGGATCAGAAATAGTGCAGCCAGCAGGACTAGGGAAATGATTTTCCCCCTCTGTAGTTGGCACCGATGAGGCTCACGTCGAGTTACTGTGTCGAGTTCTGGGCCCCCCAGTTCAGGAAGGACATTGAGGTGCTGGAGTGTGTCCAGAGAAGGGCAACAGAGCTGGTGAAGGGTCTGGAGCACATGCTCTATGAGGAGAGGCTGAGGGAGCTGGGTAGTTTAGCCTGGAGGAGGCTCAGAGGGAACCTTATTGCTCTCTACAACTACCTGAAAGGAGATTGTAGCCAGGTGAGGTTGGCCTCTTCCTGCACAGGCAACCAGTGATACGACAAGAGGACATAATCTCCAGCTGTGCAAGTGGACATTTAGGTTGGACATCAGGAAGAATTTCTTCACAGAAGGGATGATTAGACACTGAAATGGGCTACCCAAGGAGGCGGTGGAGTCACCGTCCCTGCAAGACTTCAAGAAAAGGCTGGATGTTGCACTTAGTGCCATGGTCTAGTTGACATGGTGGTGTTTGGTCATAGGTTGGAATCGATTGATTCTGTGATTCCGAGTGCCGAGAACACCGTGCTCCAGCTTCCCGGGACTGGCGCGGAGCTCACCGTGGGCCGTCGGGGGGACGATGACATAGCAGGAGGCGCTGCGCCTCCCCGGGGCTTTAATGCTTTCCCTGCGTCCCCCACGGGCCTGCTCCGGAAACCAGCACCGCCTCCCCCGAGGCCGCGCTCCCGGGCTCCGCCTTCTTCGGGCTAGCGCCGTCCCGCCCCGCGGCGTCCCGCGGAGACAGCGCCCCTCCTACCATCCCTCCCTCCATCCCTCCCTCCATCCCTCCCTGCCTCACTCCCTGCTGGCGGCGCGAAGCCGACATTTTGGGGCGGCTCAGCGGCCATGGCGACGGGCCGGGGCAGGTAAAGAGGGGCGCGTCGAGCGGGGCTCTGCCGGCCCAGGGCTGCCTGCTTGGCCTCCTTCATCTTGCCCGGCCAGAGTGGTTTGTTGGTTTTCCCTCAACACCCATTGCTCCTCTGAGAAGCCCCTTCCACCTGTCCCACGGCTCTGGTTTCTAGCTCTGAAATTGTCACGACAAGGGCTGTGGTTATGTACGCAGTTTTATTCCCTGTGGTTTTTTTTTTTTTTTTTTTAATCTGTAAATGGAGTGGGATTATATCCACCTTGTAAAAAGATTTTGGATTTGTTAGATGAAAAAAAAAAAAGCGTTACTGTAATTTCTGTTTATCCCCAGATACGCTTTAAAATTTGGAAAAGGAGGCACATTTCTTTCAGTACTTTTAATATACATTATTTGAAATACATTACTTGAGACGTGTTTGCTGACCATCAAAAAACCAAATCACACTGCAAGTACTGTAGGGTATGAAAGTGAAAATACTGGTACAAAACTGAGTCCCACAAGTTGAAAGCTAATGAAAAAGCAGTTGAAATTATTGTGCCTCTGAGAAAGAACATCTCGGCTGTTTTTGAAGTCTCTAAAGAGGAGACATAACAGCTGTCACTGACTTGTGCTTATCTGCCCTAGCTTTGTCAATGTGGTGTAAAAATATTTTGTCAATACTAATTTAAAATCTAAGCACGCGCAGTACTTGAAAAATAGTTTATGGATTGAATTTGCTGTTCACACCTTAAGAGTATTTTTGTTTTGGAAGATGCAAACGTTCAGCACTTTTTTTTTTTTTAATTGAAACTTACAAAAGGGGTATATATTACACTGAAGTTTTCAAGGCATGTGTAGGCAACATTTCTCTTACCTCAGATATTCCTTCCTGAGGTAAAGAAGAAAGGGATGCAAGGAGTGGTTAAAATGAGCAGGAAGTATTGAATACAGGCAATGCAGGTTATGCTTTTAGAAGATAAAGTGTGTTTTAAAATCCAGGACCCAGCTTCTTATCTGAATAACTCCTGTACCTGGAGTTTATGAAGTTATGTTGTAGAGTATACCTAAACGAGTTATCTCCATGCTTTCAGCATGGATTCAGGGCAGAATAGCTTTGGCCATGCTGTCCTGGAACATACAGAAGTGATAGCTCTGCTGCTGTTGAACATGACTTTTGTCCCTAAATCCCTTTAATGGTTCTTTAAAAATGAAGTTTGTTAGTGCCTTATCATCTAAGTGTGCTTCTTGATCCTGATACATGGGTAAAACGTTTGCTTGACCTCCAGGTCGCATTTGTTACCTGCTTTTTTTTTTTTTATAGTAGTTAGTTTAGTTAGTCTGTTAGTAATTGGCACCCAAGCTAAAATATGCATGTCTTTTTGTGTTATAACAATTCTCAGTAAAACATCTTGGATTTTTTTTTTTCACATAGCCCAGTTGACGGTGTAGAGCGGAGTTGTTCTTTGTTTTCTATTTTTATTTTTCTTTGAGCATAAACCAATCCTAAATCAGGAACAACATGTGTTAAATGTACGTGGTACCCATATACTTCAAAATTTTTTTCCCCAATATCGATTTGTTGCCTAGAAACCCAGAGCTGGTTCGATGACATGGTGTAAAGTCATCTGGGAATTTAAAACATTACGAATGCAGTGAATGAGGAGCTCTGCCTGCTTGGTGGCATTAGTGGGCATGAAGTGCAAGGATTTGATTAAGATAGAGTTTCAATCTCAATATTTCTGTGTGGTTTAATGGTAGTATTTATAATTACAGCTTAAAAAGTCCTTGCTATCAGAAAACTTGAAAAAATATGTGGCCAGTTGGATTTTAAGAATTTACTTGTGAAAAAATTATGCATATTTGCTTTCTTGAATAAAAGAAAGTAATTTCTATCCAAATTGTGATGTGCTAATGAACTGTAAAAACATTGATACCCATCTTGCCTGTTGAACTACCACTTATCTCTCAGATTTGTGAATACTTTAGCAGGAGAAAGTCTGAAATGAGACTATAACTTTGTTGCAAATATGATTCTGTTGTATGTTCAAGGAAATAATTTTGAACCTCAGAAGTTTTCGAGAAAGGTTCAAGGCATTGTTTTATTTGGTATCTTTTAATAGCTTAGCAAAGTTGGATGGCTCAAAAATGTCTCTGGAGTAATGTTGCAAAACAGAAGATTAATGAGTTCGACTCACTGCAGAGACCTCTGTGGGGCTTGGTTTTGGTGACCACAGTGATGCAGCTGTACAACCCTAATAAATCTCTACTGGATTCAAACTGGTTTGGTGGAGTGACACTACTCCCTTCTGACTACTGTGAGAGATTAGTCGCAGGAGAGACAGCTATGAGTTTAAATCTGACATCTTCCTGGTGTCAGGTATTTTGACATGGTGATAATTGTTCAAATCTGTGAGCAGATATTATGAGTTGCCATGTGATGTATTCCCTGAATCCTGCCTTGATTGAAGTATTGTGTCTAGGTGTGCGCAATATGCATATTTCTTCATTTTGTGAAGATGTGACTCCTAATGGCTTTTCTTTCGTAGAAGTAGGCTAAGGACATTTGCTGCCAGGCCTGGGGAATGTTCTGAAACTGTAAATGCTGGAATTAAAAGTCTGTATTTGACGCCTGCTCTAAAACGGAAACCAAGGGTGTGCATTGAGAGGTGAGTTTGTCTTTAGTTTAGGAGTAAGAGTGGAAGACCCCTTGCAGACTCTAAGCCGTCTTTCGACTGCTTACAGTAATTATGTTCATATTTTGAAGATTTCTATGTCAAATGTTCTGAGTTGAAAAGATTTGCTTTCCTGGCCTGCTTCATGATCCTATATTCACCTTCTAATGTTTACTGTCATGATTGTCCTTTGCCTCCTTTTCTGAGTTCATATGAAGTATGTAGCTTTTCCAAGTCATGTGAAGCCTTCAGCAATTCCTTTGCGTGTCGTGGGCCGTGTTGTTCTTTGAGAATAAAAATTGTTGTTTTATTACTTCAATAAAAGCCAATTTGGAATTAAACTTTGTATTTTTCTCTTGATTCTTGGTTTTTATTTTGTATAGAGAGGCTGAGAATAGTGGAGTGGGATGAGGGGGGAGGAATAAGGGACTGTTGCATATTTGCTGAAAGGTAAATGTTTCCCTTCCTGTTTGACAATGAAAGGGCACTTTCAATATAATCCTGAATTTTCTTTTTGAAAATTAGTTACATTTTTACAAAGAACCCCATCTAAGAATATGTTACCTGAAAGATTAATTAATTTTCCTTGTTTTATTCATTTGGTAGCTTCCTGTGTAAGATTTCTCTGTTTTGCATTGGATGGCCAGCTCAGTACCTTTATGCTGTTAGTCTGGTGTGAAAGATGAGACAAAAAAGGAAAAAAATCCTTTCAGCTTCCTTCAAAGAAAGAATAATATGGTTGTGAAAACTGCTGTTGAGAATTCTCGATCAAGTGCATTATTTTATTTAATTTGCATATGTTTAAGGGATCACTTCTAAATTCTTTTTGGAAAAAATGCACTACTTTGGGCTTTCAGTTTATGGGTTATTTTGCATAATAACCGTGCAAATTTTGGCATGTTGCAAGTTTTGGCACATTGCCTCAATGTTATTACAGCTAAGATTCTGAGGTTTAATACAAACATTGGAGTATTGGGATTATCATGCTACCCTTGACAGCCCTGTGCTTTTGGAATAAAGTATTATAAATCAACAACTGTTGTAAATGACACAGTAGTAAAAGGATGAGGCACAGCTGGGGCACTGACTTTCACAGCACCTTGTATTTTCAGTGGTGATTTTGATGTGACTGTACTGTATGCTCCAAAAAATTAGAGTATAAAATGCATGTATTTTAAATTCTGTGCAGTTATGAGGTGCTACTTGAAGGGTATGAGGTTTCTGTCTGTTAATGATAAAATCATGGTGGCTTATCTCCAGGGTATCTTGGGCTTATCATGCTTAGACTGCCACTTGCATTTCAGGCAGCCTTCCAGATGCACAGAAACCTTAATAATCTCAACGTGCCACTTGGCTCTTTTGTGAAAGTTAATGTTTTTCTGGTGAAAACTGCCTGAGAACTCTGAGCACATGCAGTTTGAAGATTATGATGAAATAGAGCATGATCTTACTGTTTAACTAGGATATTTCTGTCCTGTTGCATTCTGAGAGCTGATGCCACAGTCAGGAGGAGAGATACCTGCAGCTTTGGCAAATACTGGTGGGTATGGACTAAATGTTAAAATCGTGGTACAAGCAGTAAGAAACTGAGATTGAATGAGGTAGTGTCATGTCAAACTGGGTTAAAGTTAATAAAGTTAGTGAAAATGCAAACCAATAACTTTTCATGTAATTGTTCTGCACCACTTCAAAAGGTTGTGATGAATTGTTTTACGCAAATGCCATATGTAAGGGAGTGAAATCAGAACCCAAACTCTGGGTTAACTCTTCAGGTGATTTTTGATTTGTGTGTTTGCAAGCTGATAGTTTCCACCTCTTTTGTTTTGCTCTGGTTTGAATTTAAAATTCTTTGCCCGTGTAATTTCTGGAATTTGCAGGGAAGTCTAACAGTGTTCTTCTTTCTCCTGTTTTCCAGCATGCCATCAGAAATGCTGCTGAAGATATTTTCGTATTTGGATGCTGTGTCCCTGTTGTCTGTTGGTTGTGTGAATAAACTCTTCTATGATCTGGCTAATGACAAGTAAGGAAGAGGGAGGGTATAGGTGCTGGTCTCAGTCAGGCAGCTGTTGAGTTTACCTGAGTTACGAGTCTTTTTAATTTAGTTTCTCTGATGCCAGAGCACTGATGCATGAACCTATGAGCAATTACTCTGCTGCAAATATACTTCATAGCCCGCAGTACAATATATTATATGGAATTCTAGCTGTGCAAGCCCTGTTGTTTAATGGGAGTTATGAAGTGAAAACTAAATACAGTGCTTTGAAATGTTGCTATTTGCATTTGTTTTGTTGTAAAATTTGCATGTGTTTGTTTGTATTCACATGCACCTGCACAAGCTTTTTGAACCAGGCAGTCCTTAGTGATGTGTAGCCTGTGGCTTTCATAATTTTGAAGTCCTACCTATTAGGTCTTTCATCAGGTTTTTGCAAAGGGGTTGATTTAATCAAATGATCCACTAGTAGGTTTTATCTGTTGCTCTTTCTGTCAAATTTTGGTGACTTCTACATGAAAACAAAGAGACGAACATAAATACCAACACATTTTTTGTAAGCGATTGCTTATACAGAGTTCACAAATGGCTCCTAGCAGTATCATGATAATTTTGTGAAAGGATAGAGAGGAGAGACCTGAGTTGGTACATGATATTTGGGATGTCTGGGTATCCTTTTTTTTTCTAGGATTCTGCTCCATTATTGTTGTTTGAGTGAGAAAGTGTCTTCCTGTATAGGAAGTTGCTGTGTCTGGTGTGAATCCATTTCTCCCTTATTTGGTGAAACTAGTGCAGTGAATTGGTTTACATTGGCATTGACACCTTTAGAACTGATTAATCTAAAGGGAAGACTGTAATCCAGATTTATGTTTTGAAGCTGTCAGCAGGTAAGTGTGGATAAAAATTGGATAGTTGACAAATTATCTATCTTGGTATGTGTTTTCCACTTCAAGATAGTAAGATAGGATAAAATCATTGGGGCTCTACAGGGAAGGATGATTCATCTGTCTCCCTCTCAACAATGTCTGTTTCCATTTTCTGATCTTGACAGAGATTACTGTATGTGCACAAATGGGATTTGGGGAAGAGCTACTTCCTTTATCTAGGAGATTGAGTGGTTCAGTGGGACCGGGTCATTTTCCTGCTGGATTTTCATGGACCTTCTTGAGACCTTAAATCTTGTTTTGAAATACCAGAAGCTTTAATTGGAAGTCCCTGCATATTTCTCTGACAAATCTGATCTTGTGTTTTAGGCAGAGTATCTATTTTAGGTTTTTTCTTCTGTCCTGGATGTACAGGGTGCTGTCCTTGGTGCAACAGGACCATCAGTTTTTCATTATGATGTGTCTGTGCTGCCTAATGCAGTGCTTTGTCTTTGGGCTCTTCAAATTATGTCTGCGCTTGAACAGTTCCTTGGCATTGATGACTTCCAGTATAACTGTTGAAGACAAGGAAATGTTTCTGAGTCCCCTTTCTGCCCTCTCCTTGCCCCATATGTTGTTTTTCCAGCCGTCTTGTCATGCCTTGTGGGAAGCTCGCATAGATGGTCTGTCTGAAAGCCTGCGGATTTTCATCACCTGCAGACTGTGCATGCGTAAGAGGAAGTGAGAAACCAGAGCATGGGGGAAGAATCTTTTTGCTCTTGTGGTCAGGTGATGATTGATGACGAACTGTGTCTGATTCTGGCGTTTGAATTAGCAGTAAGAGCTTTGTTTGGCTTGTAGTAACATCCAATAAGAGGCTTTGAGATTAAGTTCACATTTTGAGGCAAAAAGTGCATGTATTCTCCTGTGAAAGAGGCAAACCTGTGCTTCCCGGTTGGATACCTTTTTGATTTGTCTGCCCTGACTTCTTCAGAAGTTGAGGATGAAGGGGCAGTGATACTTTCCTAAACACTTGTAATTCCAAGTCCTTCTTTTTCTCCTCTGCCTCCCTGCCCGAACTGAATTTTAGAACTTCTTGAACTGATTTCTCATCTGCTTGCACAAGGCTTATTTGGAAAAGGAAGAAGCAACATGTAGCTGCGAGTGAGGACAAGTCTGCTAGGTATTGGTGGCAAATCTGTCTTCTGTCACCTATATTGCCTGAGCCTGAACCTTCAAAATGCAGGAAATGCCTACTACGTAGCTCTGTGTTTTCAGCATCATGCAGTCAGATGTGAAGTATGTCTCCCCATGAAAGAAAGGATGTCTCTCTTGGAAAGTGGTTTCTAGTTAACAGGAGAGTGTTATAAGGATATCTTACTGGGCTATTTAGAATGGTTAAGACCAGTGAGATGATACACAGCTCAGTTTCCCCTGATGATGATATGTCAAGGACATCTCTCCTCTGTTTTCATTATCCCACAATTCTAAATTGCTTTGGAATGAAATAAAAATTTTCTCCCTCTATTGGAAATGTTTTATACTGTGTAATAACCTGGTTGCTTTTTCTGGTCTTAAAATAGAAGTATCTTAAATCTTTGTTTTACTTATGGAATTGTTCTTTATGTTCCCCTGCCCCAGTTTCATAGAAGCGAAAGTCAGATGGTCATGTTGACTGTGAACCCACCTTTACCAGTCATGGAAGCTCATTGGTCTGTGTGTTTTAAACAGCTTTGTCTCAAAAAATGACAGTGGAGCATTCTGTATATATCTATACAGCAGCAGGCTGGAAAGTTTTTTTCAAAATTCCTTAGTATGTTTGCATCAATAACCAGAGCCTGACTCTCAGCATGTAGGGGCTTATTCTTAGCAGCTGATGAATTGAGAATGGTTTTGATGGGTAGGAGGCAGTGTGGGATGGATTCAGTCCTTGAATGCTTTAATGCTTCAAGGAGAGGGAAAATGCATTACAAACCACATTAATGTAAGTTTGCCTGGGGATAAGTGAGGGCTGGTAAAGGTAATCTTGCTGATAAATGGTAGAAAATGTCTCTTGAGAAATTGTTTCTCTTGCTATTAATTTTCTTTAGTGCAGTTATGTAAACTGTGTGTCTAGTACTTCAGAATTAGAAAACTTATTGGAAACCTTTATTCACAGATTGTTGTTTAAATTCTTGTAACTTCTTGTACTCAGTATTCCATGAACTGTTCTAGAGATACTGGGATATGAGGGGCGGAAATGTGACCTCATAGCTTTCCTTACATGGAAGAGCTGAAGCCATTATTCCTGTCACATGTTTCTTTGTCTTCAGAAGGTCATGTCTTCTGTCAGGTTTTCCAAAGAGAATGCAGAGGGGATTGAAGTGACACTGGTACCACCAAACATAGGTGATTCTTATTGTCCTCCTCCACCCCACTTTCAGCTGTGTGAGAAACTTGAGGGGTACAGGTTATCTTTGTTGAGTAAGAGGTGTTAAACCACTTTTTCCACTAGCTGATTTTATGTGAGGAGGATGCATCGTTTTGGGGAGGAATTTTCAAAAGTAACTGCTTAACCCTTATCAGTTCTCACTTCACTTACTGAGTCTGAGCTTTGTCCTGGATCCCATATTTTCAGGAAAACAGACAAGACTTGCCTTTTCATAGTTTCCTTATGATAGCTTTATCTCAGATCTGTTTGTTTTGTTGCTATTTGTGTTATCATTTTTTTTTATTTTTAAATCTGCTCAGTAAGTATCTGTGAAGGAAGTAGCAGCATAAGGGGAAGGAAGGCTTTTTAAAAACCACATGCTCTGGTGTGCTATTGAGAGATATAAAACAGTGGGAAGTTCTCAATATCCAATTAGTCTACTTTCTAGAGCACTAGTCAAACATTTTCTGTGTATGTAGTTGAGATGTTTATCAACCTGATTGAAGTATTGTAAGACTTAATAACTTTTTCTTCCCTCCCCCCCCCCCGGCAGAGCAGAAAGTTTTAAGTGGATTTCATTTGGTATGTATAATCTAGAACAAGAAATGTGTTCTGAGATTCCACAGTCTTTTAGATAGCCTAGTAAGCCCATGAGAAATGCTGACATCTAGCATCCTTGGATTCCTGAGCCTTCATGTTTGCACCACGGAAACTGACCTTATGTGGGCTTTTGGAAGGTCAGAATGGGGAAAAATGTACAACTGTGCCCTTGTATTTTCCTAACTCATAGCTAGGAGGCTCCAGTTACTGCTCTTCTAGAAACTTAGATTTAGATCAAATATAGTTTGCTGATAATCTGGGACTTCATATTTTTCTGCTAACATTATGCTCAAGCATAGCAGAAATGTGAGTACAAAAAATTGACTATTCTTGAAATTTATGTGGTTTTCCTCTTTGTTCTATTTTTATTTTCAGTGGAATTTGGCTGAAAATCTATTCCAGTTGTTTGCAGCCAAAAAGGACAATTTGGAAAATGAAGTCTGAACAAACAGAAGCTGTTCCCTTGGGCTGTGCTGCTCTACATGATAAAAAACCTGGGTACTGGAAGAAAGAATACATCTTGAAACAAACAGCTGCTGTCAAAACTAGAGTAATGCGACTTGCTAAACCTCTAGATCCTTATACAGGTCTTCCGTGTAAAAACAAAGTAGCTATGAAGTAAGCAATTCCTTGTCACAGAAGTGGTTTACTCAAGAACAGTGTACAGAATATTAATGGCTTTGGAAATGCTGGGGAGGGGGTATGGAAATAGTGTTATAACATGAGTATCATAATGAGAAGATATGATAGCCTATAAAGGACTGAACCTGAGAAACATAAGTAGCAGCAAGTAGAAATTTGAAAATTCTCTTGCGAGCATAGTTTAAGTTTTGTGATTTTATTTATTTATTTTTTTTAAATATCCCTCTCCCCTCTCAATTTCTAAATAACAGACTCTCTGGCTTGAGTTGGATAATTGTTCTAAAGGACAAAAATGGAAAAGAACATGTAATGGAGAAGGCAAACCTGTCATTTAAGCACACATCTGTTACCATACTTTGGTATAGTACAAACTGGCCGTGCTTAGATGTCGTGTCAACCCTAAAACTATTTGGAGTTACACCGTTGCTTCTTGACCAAAACATGCCTCCCAACAAGAATGGGTGAGTTTTAACGTAGGATTTTTGAGGTGTTTTTTGGTGTAACTGATTGATAACATATTTGTAGGAGCTATCTGACCTTGGTTTGGCTCAACAAGTTAGTTCTTTGTTAGAAAGCTTGTCTTTTCTTCCAAAACCTATGTTCTTCTCTTCATTAGTAGAACTTTTTAATAAGAAACAGTATAATCTAACAAACTATGACATTAACTCATAGGTTAATGTAGCTACTGGCATGTGATATACAGACTGATAGCTCCTGCCTTGGAAAGCAGAATCTAAGGCACAGATACAAATGGGTGTGAAAGAAACATGTAAATCTAGGAAAATTTAATGTGAGACGTTTAGCTTGGAACAGTTTGTCAATATTTATAGGCTGCAGTCAGGTAATACATGTTGTTAACATTTATTTTCTATCTGATAGGTACGTGAATTTAGGGAATTTGATGTGTAACTGTGAGTACAATCTAAGTACCTGCATTTAAAAAAAGAGTCCACAGCTTATCTGTTATTTTGTAGCTTAAGCTGTACAATGCTTTTCTGAAATTATATTTTGAGAAAAGATATTTGAATGAAAAGTGTCTGTTTGAGATATTCACTTTCTGTCAAGGAGTTTTGCACATGTCTGGGTCTGTGTGTATTGTATGTGCAGTATCAGCTACATGCTTCTTACACAAAGCCCTTAGCCATATGAGTTCTGAAAAGAGAGAATTGTTCACCTACAAAAAAACCTGGTTCCTCAAGGAGAAGCAAAGTATTTGCTTAAGAAATAAATAAATCAAGAGAAGCCTTTTGTATAAAGTCAGCTGAACAAGTCTTGCAGTCAAATTATGTGGGAAATATAGTTTATTTACCAATATGATGATTCATAGGTAGAAAATAGTAAAAGAAAACTTGCAGGCAGTTGGTGTATTTATTTCACAGAATAAGTTTTTGGAGCTTGTGAATATACATGAATATAATGGTTTCACCGATATCAGAATGTCAGTGTTAAGACTATAAGGAGCTGTTGCAGGGACTTCGGGAATGTTCCTGTATTGATATGAGCCTGATTGACTTAGAGATGGGAAGTGTTGATGTTGATTAGGAAAAAATTCTTTGCTGTGAGGGTGGTGAGACAGTGGAAGAGATTGCCCGGGGTTGGATGCCCCAACCCTGGCAGTGTTCAAAGCCAGGCTGAATAAGGCCTTGAGTGACCTGGTCTAGTGGGAGGTGTCCTTGCCCATGGCAGAGGGTTTGGGACTAAATGATCTTTAAGGACCATTCCAACACCTTAACATTCTGTCTGTGATTCTGTGGTGTCCTGTCACTGCTGCAAATATTACAGTTTAAAGTAATGTGATGAAGTTCCTCTTGGTTGCTGTCTTCCCAGCAGTGTGTGGTAGGTGATACTACAGTGATTCTATTGGTAAATCTAGGAACTGTTTTGAATATAATAAGAGCCCAAGTCTGCAAAGGGTTTTAGAAAGACTTCTCTCTCCATTCTGAGTAGGTAACACAGACTCTGCTTTCTGGTCTTTTTTTTTAGTGCATTATTAGTTAATAACAATATCTGTGAAGTCTGAACTTTAGTTAAAGGGTGTTATGGATTTTATATTAAATGAAGACATATAAAGATATGTAAAATATCTTTAATTACAGGTAGAAAAAATTGCTTAAAAAGAAAAGCTTACTCTAACAGAAGCTTTTAATTTATTATATGTACAGTTTGATCATTTCCTTTGGATTTTGCTTCTGTGGAGGAAGAATTTGCTTAGCAGCTTGCTTCATACTGACTCCATACTGATTCCATTTAGTACCATCACAGTATTAAAAACAAATTATGAAGTAATTCTGTGGGTATTTTGAAAAACTGGGCAAGCACATAAGTTTTTCTTCATTTTTAAGAGTATAGTAGGACTTCTTATGGTCTTTTTGTTTCTTTTCTTGTTAGGGATTGAGATCCTGCTAATACACTGTAGTTGTTCAAACATATTGTTTATGACTGTGCATACTGAAACTATTTCCATTGCATGCTGTTGGTCAGATTTCAGAGTTAAAAATGAAATTGGGCTGAACTGTAACATAAATAAAGAGACATAACCTTTTTGCTAAATTTATGTTCTGTTCAAAGACCTCGACGACTTTCCTTAATTGCTGAATACCATCTTGCTAACCTGACTGAAAGCAGTGTAGCAGTTGGTGCTGATGGCCTTGTTCAGCTCTTCAGTGTGAATCCAGGACTCTTAATAGGAATTTGGAAGGTAAGATAACATTACATTTTGTTTCAGTATTTTATTATGACTTGAAGGAACATTTTTTTTGCCTTGTAGTTTGGCATTTGGGGACATTTTGAGGGTTTTTTAATCTTTTTTTTTTTTTTCTTTGGATTTTGGAAGATCTTGTCTAACGTAGTAACAACAAAATGCAGGTAGGGACAGCTAGTTGATGATTTATTGTATTCTAAAGAGCTGTCGGTACTTTTAAAAAAATCCACCTCTAATTAAAAGATCAGTTATGTATCATACATTATTAGATACTGTGTTCAGTTTTATTTATGTTGCAGTCTTCACATGCCAAAGTTTGATATCCTGGGGTTATTTTAAATAGAATAGTTTGAGGAGAGATGTGCTTCTTCCCCTGATTCATGCCATGCCCTGTCCACATCACTCAAAGTGATGAGTCCCCACAAGGCAACTTAGCTTTAATCTACATCAGCAGGTAGCTGTATCCTGCGCCAGCAGTAGGAATGCTGTAAATCATGCCCTTTTGGGGGTATTAAATTCTTGGTATTAAGGGTCTAATTTAAGCAGTTAGTCTCTGTAGGCTGTGTGTAGAGATGAATGTCTTCAGAGGGCAGTGCACAACATCTGAAGTAGACTTGTACACGAAAGGAATCTGTATCTCTGCAGAGAATACTCTGGGACCTTGGTGACTGAAGTTACGTTGGGGTAGGTGCTGTGAAAGCCTATCTCAGGGGTTCTGCTCTTGGTCTGATTTCAGAGGTGGCAGCCCTTTCTTCTTCCCTCAGCCATATTACTGACGTAGATTTATGTTACTTGACACTGGCAAGAAACTTCCCTCAGGGAGCCTGTGAGCAGTTGCTCAAAGCTGTGTCTAATTTCCAGCTGGAATTGTGCTACCTCAAATGTGCACAATCACCAGAGGCATTTAAAATCATGGAAGGAATATTTCTTAAAGATAAGAGTGAAAGTCCATTTCCTAAAAAACTTGAGACTGGCTGACCTGCATAAGCCTATTACAGGTTGTCTTAATCTATGAAGAGCTCCTATAAATGAACAACAATTTCTTTTGTGTCTTCAGATCTTTACTAGGTTGTTGTCGCCGTGTTGTTGGCCCTGTAGTCTTGCTAGTGCACTGCCCCCTTCCATGCTTGGAAAGATAACTCTTTCAGCACCTGGAAGTGGTTCAGTCATAACCAAGTTCCACACAGTTGTTAAGCACCAAGTACGTCACTGTAGGAGCTTTTCTGAACAGCAGTTCTTATTCTCTGTGTAGGCAGTTAACTGTAGATGGGTGTAGGAATTGCAAATGTCACACGTCTTGGCATTTTACACATAGCTCAGCTGCATAGCAGAAACTGTTGATGCTGGTAGTTTTGGCAACCAAGGACAGGTTGTGTGGGCCTTCTGATATTTGGATAGAGAAAGAATGAGAGGCTCTGTGATTGATAAATCTCTATTGTTATATCTTTTAGAGCTGTAATTTTGCACTATGAAAGTACAGGAGTAGTTAAGAACCCAAAATTAACCCCAGAGATAGAAATAATAGTTGCCCACATTTCAGGACAGCGATAGGCTGCTGGCTGTGAATGGTTTTACTGTTGACTTATGTGTTTGCAAATGTAGGACTTAAAAAATGCATTAAAAAAAAAAGAGATGAAATCCTAGCATTCTGTATTCTTGGAGTAAATAGATACCTTTGTCTGTATTTAGCTCTCACATTGAGCTCTGATGTTTTCTTTGAGCTATGTTAGGCCAACAGAGAGTTATGTCTTAACATTTTCCCAGGAGTGTGTAATCTGGTGAAGACACCTGAGGTTTTACTTTGAAATTTACCATTTCTGTTGAATAGTTCTGTATTCCTTCATGATGTTAGCCTTCTTTGCAAATAATTCCTTACATAAACTTGATGCTTAGCTATTCAGTAGCTGGGTTTAAGTCTTGTTTAATTCTGTTTAGGTATCCATTTTAAAGTGGTAAGTAGATACTAGAGGAGTACAATTCATCGTTTTCTTTCATAACTTTTGCCCTAATATTGCTAGTTTCCCTCTCTTCCCCCCAATATACAAATGCTGTAATCTTTAACGTATATTCTATGCTCTTGTGAAAAGACACTAGCAGTTGTTGGAGTCAGTGTTAAAGCAAGCCGTTATTAGCATTATTACAATAAAGGGCAGAGTAATAAGCAGCAGCATTTATCTATGAATTTTAATGCTCAGAAAGACTTTGTGGGGAAAAAAAGCGTTTCCAGATGAAAATACATCTACTTTAATTAACTTTTCAGGAGAAAAATGAAATTGCTTTTGTTATGGTGAGTCTTCATTATCATCAACTTCTTGAGAGAAGCATTCTGGGTTCTGCTACTGCGTAAGTATGGTTTCTCCTTTGTGGTTAATAAAGATAACATTTTGAATAAAGCTTTTGAGTTTTACAGTTAAAATTGGCTGCTGGTAAGAGGTTTATATTTAGGCAGTATTTAACTATTCTTGTTTAATATAAACAAGTTACAGTAACTATATACGAGACTGTAGAAGCATTTTCATACTAAAATGTTGCAATTGTTATGCTGCTGAGGAGATAATTTAGTTTTACAAGTGTGTTAGTACTTGCTGTATTGAGAAGGTTAGAAATACACTGCCAATGCTTCCTCCCTTTTCACAAGCAGTCTTTCTATTCCCTCTTCCAATCTGAAAGACATAGAAAAGAGAGAGACATTTTTAAGAACCAGGAAAGCAATCTTTAGCTGTGTAAGAGGGAAGAAAAAAATTCTGATAAACTGGTAAGGTGCCCGCATTTATCTTTCAGTCCTATTGGGAAATTAGCTGGATTTCTTATGAGGTATTTGTATATATGTGTGTATTGCAGCATATAATATAATACAATACCTGTTTATACACTGTAAACTGTTTAAAAGGATGGAGTTTGTTAGCTTTAAAACAATATTTGTGGAATTTATTTTCCCCTCAGCTTTCTATTCAGATACTGTTGTATCTACTGGTAGTCTTATGTGCCCCCTATAACTTAATGTGGCTCTTTTTAGCACAGAAGGTAAGATTTAACACCATCTCCCGTAGTTCCAAATAGAATCCTAAGTAGAAGCTGCTCAGTTGCCTCTGGCATTTGGTCTCTTCAGGTCATTTATATACTGTAGAAGGTAACTTAAAAGAAGCATGATAAACTAGAGATGTTTGATTTCAAAACTCTCTAAAGATGATAGTCTTAAGTGTAGGGCTGTGTATTGTATCTCTTTTTATTAAGTCATTTCCCCCTGCTTAATCACATTATTATTATTTTTTAAAGTCAATATACCCCTCCACCTAATAAACCTGTATTGGATGATATTGACCCAGAATATGGACTACATGACTACAGTCTGCATCTGGAAATGCATGGTAGAAGCTGCACCTACCTGCGTGGAACATTCAGGAACCTCTTCTGCAGAAAAGGTATAGTTGACAGAACAGTAATGTCTGGTTTTAAAATAATCCCTGTTATGTCTTTTTTTCTTGTATCCAGTGTCTCTGTTTTAAGGGCAGAAACTGAAATGGATTTTTAAGAGCAAGCTGTCTTTCCATTCGTTTTGTCATTCCTTTATATCTGCATGGGGTGTTGTGTGGCATCATAAGTAAGCCTGCTCTGTGTGAACTCTGCCTGCTGTTAGGCTGACATGGTGTCAGGCCTGAGACACAAGTTCTGCGGATTGTCAGGGTGTTTTCATTTGGTTCAGTGCTGTGTTAATAATGCAGTGGCACAGCTTTTGGTGCAGGTTGATGTTCCTTCATCTCAGATACTGTAAAGGAGAGACAGTTTGTCCTCATACATTTTGGAGGCCTATTTCTGTAGAATTCTGCTCAAGTATACTTTAGGTGCATTGACAGATTAAATATTTAAATATGTTTGTAGAAGTTACTGTGAACTCTTAATACTTACAGTTTTTTTATCTCAGTCAGCTTAAGGTTGTTCAGATTTCTCTGACATCCTTTCGTTGTGTAGTAAACAATTTCAGTGATTGTTTTTAACTTTACTGCTTCTTTTGGTTTTCAGCACTTCCTTTCGTAAGACACAATGGACCATGTGTTGTTTTTGTACAGCTCAACTTCATAATTGTACTATGGTTTTGCACATATATGGGCGATTTCTCCTTTGACTGAACTTGAGCACAGTCCTTCCTACAGCTACACGGCTGTCTTTCTGTCAGCAGATACAGATTAAAATATTAAAATAGAGCAATTAAAATTAAATACTGTAAGTTAATTATTGCTCCCCAGTATTTTTTGTGATAACGGCACTACTCAGCCTCCTGAGGATTTCAGAAAATGCTAGTTTTGCAGACAGCAGAGGGCGATGTTGTCAGGCTCCAGTGCATTTACGGGGTTACAACAAATTTCCTGTGATTCGTTTTTGGTTTTGTTTTTGTTTTTCCTTTTGTATTTGGTCACTCCAAAACCTATCATTTAGATTTCAACCTTATGCACAGTGTGGAGTGTTGTAGTCCTTGAATCTGAGATATGTATGTTTTCAAATTCCATAAAAGCTTCAAGCTTGAAATAAAGGAGTACTTCTAAAGGCTAAAACTTCAGTGAAAGTCTATCCATATAGCAAGAAATCTCACCTGAAGTGTTGTGCAATACAGGAGTCCTCTTTATACCCTCAAAAGAAAATTCTTTTCTAAATTGACCAGGTGGTTGGGGGTTGTGTTTTGGTTTCTGGTTTTAATTTTTGAGGCAAATATCATGTTTTGTTTTCTCAAATTAAAATTTTAAGCTCCTAGCAATACAGTTGCACAAAAAGAAGGAGTATTGTGGCACACTTCACTTTTTTGCAGCTTAGAATCTACTTCCTTAAAAGATTATGCTGATGTTTATGCAAATGGTAGCAAATGTCTATGAGCTACAGTTGTGATGCCATCTCACTTTGCGTGTTACAGAATCTGTTTTATGATCACTAGTGTTTTCTGAATTGTTTTGGTTTTGTGACCTTCACCAGTGTGACAGCCACTAGATTCTGGTCTTATAGGACATTGGACATCTGAAGCCGTGGTTCTGCAGACAAAAAGCTCATTTGTCATCTAGTCTCTTCCCCATGCTTGCACAATAATTACTTTTGGAAAATACTTGACTTTCTACGAAAATGTCATGAGGCAGCTTAGGGCTGTCTGCTTTCACATATTTTCATTGTGATTTGTTGTTCATTTTGCTTTTTCTGGTAAACGTGGTGTTTCTGAATGTGGCTGACAGTGTAGATTAGTCCAGGCTGGTTGTATTTGAGGATTTGTGCTTTGTTTGTAGGCTCCATTCTAATAATACCCTTTGTCCCATTCTCTGGGAGGACTCTGAAGCATAGAGGTCTCAGGCATACTGAGAAGTCTTACTATTTCTTAAAATTCTCTACCCGCTCCAGATTTATTTTAAATTATGGATGTGACATGCCAATGGCAGTTTCCACAACATGAGACAGAGTTGTCAGGTATTATACCGGTGTTTTCCTTTTTATTGGTTTCCATTAGGAATCTGTGCGTTCCTAGGTTACCAGAAAATACCTATTTGTATTCTGCAAAATAACTGATTTATATTTTCGAGTTTAGTTTTATTTTTGTCTGCTTTTTGTTAGCGCTTATTAATGTTGTACTTCATTTTTCTGCTCTATTTTCAGCTATTTTTTCAGAATTCTTACTATTAAATATAAAAACTTATATCACACTTCATTAAACCAAGCAGATGGAGTATATATGGCTTCAGATTTTTTTTTTCTGTTATTAATACTTGCATCGCAGTAACTAGCTGTTTTGTCACTTTCTTTTGGTTAGGTTCTAGCATTTTATTTTATACTCCCTTTCATGTAAACAGCATTGGTAATGCGGTCTTTTTAACAGATACTGGAGAGTGAATATGCTAAATACTTTAAAATTGAATTGAAAATATGTAGAAAACTTAGCTTGTTTTCAGGAAGCTATGACAGGCTTTTCATATGATGGGCCATGAATCTAGCTTCTTAATAAACATTCTTGAAATGTATTTCGCTAGGTTTTCAGCCTTTGAGAAAAGCTTTGTAGCCACATGGTAGTTTAAACTTTGGCTTTTCAATGTTATTTCTTGTTGATGTAAATTGATGTGTTGTGCTTGCAAATTATAAGGGGTGATTTTTGTTTGTTTAGAGAGCTGTTAAGATTTGTTTGTAAAATTTCGTATCGTGCATTTGAAATGTTTTGCTTGACCTTGGAGATTGATTTGCAAGTTTAAATGACCATTGCAGTGTGGTAAGGCTGGTTGTTGGCACCAGAAGTAGTGTTAAGCACAGCCTTTCCTCTGAAAATGCCAATCATATTACAATTTGCACTGAAGGCTTGGTTAGCAAAACAAACTTCCTTGGCTTTTAGCTAAAATAAGTGCCTTGGAACTATTTGGCTGTTTGTTTCTTTCCCCTGAGGTTTGTCTACATGATACGTGTTTTTTTTATTGGTATTACCTTTATCTGAAAATTTTTGTTCCCTATTACTTATTCTGCTGCTTTGCTGCTATGTATGTCTTGCATAAACTCTGGACTGTAGGTATTACAAGGGGGCAATGAAACAAAGTATAGATCAGGCTGAAGAAAGCCCTGTTCAGTTTGCTTCTTCTGTGTTTCTCTTGGTATGTTTAACATAGCTTGTTCTGCCCCTTAATTTCTTTTTCTCTTCTGATTAGGGTGAGGAAGAGGAGATTTTAGTACTTAGCCTTCAGCTTCTTGCTCATTTCTAGGTAGACTTTTCCTTTTTTCTGGTTATGAGAATTGCAATGGAGCTTTTAAATTTAAAAAAAAATATATATAAAGATTGGATTAACTAACCCATGACTAATTAGCCTTCAGATTCCTGATCTGTTGCCTATTTCTGTTCTGGCTAAAATTAAGAAGTAACTGTAGTAGGAGGTTTATAACCTTAGCCAGGTGACCCATCTAGCAATGTTGTATTAATGCCATGGTATAGTAGTGATGTCCTAGGCTTTGTGAATTTATTAGCACTATGCTTTTTACAACCTGCTTTTATTCCATTTGAATTTTAATTTGTTTTGAATAAGAGAAATAGGTGTTTCCATTCAAATCAGAATTGCAGATAACTTTGAAAAAAATGCTTGTTGACCAATGTTTTCAAGTCTCTTGTATAAAAGCTCAATTTTAAATGTGAACTTTTAGTGTTCACTCAGTAAACTGTTTATTTAAAATATTTTTACCTCGAATGAAATCAAGTAATTGGATTTGATTTATTGAGGTTTGGAATTGAACCATTTGAGTAGGTATCAACTTAATATCTTTTTTGCACTTTGAGCTAGATCCCGGAAATGAATTCTGCTTATGTTTTGCTCACTGAGTTCTTGGAGACTTGACTTCAAGGACAGTGGGTGTCACTGTCTGGAACATTGCATATTCTTTCAACCATACAAAATATCTCCTGGACAAAGTCATGTTGGTTTTACTGTATTCACGCTCCTATTCCTGATGGTGTCTATACCTGAAAACCTGCAGCTTTTGTCCTCTGTCATGCTGGGCTCCTTTCTCCCCAGAGTAAGTATTCTTTGAACTCCCCACTTGTGAGTGATGCCTTTCCAGCATTGGTTTGTGGCAGGCATCTCTCGGGAGTTGCTTGGCCCCACAGTACCAATACAGAGGAGTTTCTGGCTTCTCTGGTAGACTGTGGGCTTCCTTTCTCCGTCACTGCCTCCAGCTGTCTGCTTAAAGCAGCCACCAAGCAAAGGTTTTGCTGCCACTACACACAGGATACAGCTGTTTAACTCACAGTCAACCTTTCTGATGTTGCTGCTTCTGTCTGCAGCCTTGTGCTGTTACTTGGGCTTGATTGAAGGAGAATCACAGGCAAGACGTTTTTCTTTTTTCACTTTCATTACTTTCTCTAGGCCCTTCAAACCCCTTCAGCTGTTACCGTAACATCCAGGGCCTGCTACTGGATCCCGAACAAGCAGTTTATTCCTGGGAATTCCTTCTCTCCCTTTCTATAGCTCCTGCAAGTGCTAGACACTTAGTTCCTTTCTTTATATTGAAGTTTCTAGTGCTTTTGTTTGCTCTTTTAAGGGAGTTTCTCTTGTTCAAGGAAACTTGTTTAAGGGATGTCCTACTACGAAATGTGCTTGTGTCATGATGTGATGCTTTTATTTTTACTTTTTTTGTAGTCAGAGATCACGTTCAATATGATGTACCCCAAGTTATAATTAAACCATTGGACTGTCTGGTTAACTTTCCTTCTCTGATAACAAGGGAAAAAGAATAATTGAAAACAGTCGATCTCTTCTGAAAAGAGAGGAAGAGATACCAAAGAAATATGGCTATATGTAGTAATAAAAAAAATCATTAATCATAATAATTCTGTCAAAGAAAAAAAGAAAGTGAACCTTTGGAAAGCTGTTTAAAAAATGAACAAATCCATAATTTAAAAACTTGATTTAAATCAAAGCATACTGCATGTCAATTTAAATGATGCAATATCCTTTCCAAGGAGGATTGATAGTTATCCTTATACCCTGTTGCATTGTGTTATTTGAGTTACCAGTCAGAGTTGAGAGATTTAAATAATTTTAAAAAAAGGGCAGGGAAGGTATCGTAATTTGTTTCATGTGTTATGTGTTGAGCTTTACTTTTGGGGAGTGGGCAGTGATTGAGGCACTGGTGGCATGAAAATGAAATGTTGCATCCTTGTGTAAGTTCTTTAGGTGCCATTCATATTTTTATACTAAAAAATACAAAAGACCATTTAGCTGCTGCTTCTACTGTGGATCACAGAATTGAAGCCCTGAACTGCAACTTAATTTCTCTATAATGTGCTCTATCTAGCTGTTGAAGTATGTCAGGGTTCCTTATTGGTGAGTGAGAAGAAAATAAAGACATGGAGAGAAAATAAGAGAACATTTACAGTGTATTTGATTTGTTCTGGTATAATGTTAGATATTGTTTGTATTTTCAGGTGACATTGCAAATGGATACTTGAGGCTCACAGTTGTAAGCTTAAAGGATAATAGGAAGCACTTGCCTCTTATTGGGACACTTGGCTTATCCTGGGAAACAGATGTGTTTAAAGGCAATGTAAAGGTCAGAAATATTTTTTGTTTCTGGAAACACTTATCTCAAAATGGAACTAAGTTTGTGTATCCTAAGTATGCTAATTTTTAAAACAATGTTTTTGTTTGTAGAAGGTATCTTTAACTAGAAAAACACCTCCATTCAGATATTGCAAAAGATATGTAAATTTTGAAAAAAATCAGTTTTATCCTTTCTCTCCTGTAGTCTAGGTTGCATGATAGAACCATTGTGTATATGTAATGACTCAAGTGGTTTCCACTCAGCAGGGTGCTGTGACTGACCAACCCTGCTTGGAAATGCTGGACAAAAATACTGTAATGCAGATGTACTTTTTGTGGGTTTGTTTGGTGATTTGTTTGTTTGTTTGTTTGTTTGTTTGTTTGGAGTTTTTTTGCAGGCAATAAGCCTTGAACCCCTGGGGAAATACTCTGCAGTTCTGTGCTAGTACATATATGCAGTGGAAGTTAGGAAATGCTGGAGAATGTTGAAATGGCAATGAACACTTGCAGAAAGTTACAGTCCACATTCACACAGTCAGCACCTAGCTTGAGTCGTGTGCATCAGTCAGCTAGTTTAACTCTTTGTATTTTAGAAGAATGCTCGCTCATTCTGTTGGATAAAATTCCTAAGAGCATTATTTCAAAGAAAGTTTGAGAGTAGTTCTTTAGATTTTGCAGTAGTGGTGAAGGCACTTATTTTTAAATGTACTTCAACTGCATGAATATTTCAGACGTTACAAAAATTCTGATAAACGTAATGTAAACACTACTGAAAAATTATCTGGTTCAACACTTGGTTTTGATTTTGGCACTTGTTTTGAAAGAAACCTAAAAATTAATAAAACTGTTGTTTCTGTTAATCCTGCATTAATGTGGAGTGGAATATTGTTTGATAACATAGTTGAGGGAGACTTTTTTACCAAGGCCTGTAGTGACAGAACAAGGGACAATGTTTTTAAACTGAAAGAGCCTAGATTTACATTGGACATCAGAAAGACTTTTTGTCTTTTTTTTACACTGAGGGTGGTGAGGCACAGGATCAGATTGCCCAGGGAAGCTGTGGATGCCCCATCCCTGTAAGAGTTCAAGGCCAGGCTGGATGGGTCTGGGAGCTACCTGGTCTAGTGGAAGGGGTCCCTGCCCATAGCAGTAGAGGTGGAACTAGGTGATCCTTAAAGGTGTCCTCCAACCCAAACTGTTCTATGGGATTAACAGCTGCTTGGCAGAATTTTTTTTTTTTTCATGAGTAGCATACGAATTTGGGAAGTTAACTGTCAGAGGAAACAGAGAGCTATGGCTGTAGTTTTTAGGTTTTTAGTTTTAGTCTCTGTCCTGTGTGCTTACAGCATAAGTTATACTGAATATTTGTTTCTAGGAAAAAATAAAGAATACAAGATTTTTTTTAAACTCCTCATTTTGTGGTGAGAGATTGAACATGTCAGTGTAAAGCTGTGGGTAGAATTCAGTGTGGTTTTTAACATGAATCTCTAAAATTATTAAAACATGTGGAGGCCAAATAATAACAGCCACAGAAGCAGGACATACCACTACTTTGAATTTATTTGAATTTTGCTCAATGCTCTAAAGAAAACAAAAAACCCCAAAAGCTTTTTTTTTTTTGCACTTCTGGGTATTTTTTATAAAAAATTAATTGCTGAAGTACGGATAGTTAGAAATTGTCATGATTTAGGAATAGTATTCTCAAATTTAGTGTTCCCGCTGCAAACACTTCAAACCACACCCCACTTATCCCTCCCCTGTCCTCCTACCCTTCCCTTGCAGTGGCTGGAGAGGAGAACTGGAGTCACAAAAACTAAACATCACGGGTTGAGATAAGAACAATTTACTGGAAACAGCAGTGAGATAAGAAAATGAACAGTAATAGCAACAGTATTAATAACAATAATGTACAAGAGAGAGGCAAGTGATTCCCATGGAAATGCTCACCATGGAACCCGACCCAACTGTGCCAAGCTGCCCTGACCTGGAAGTGTGCCCTTCCCCCTTCCTGGAAATGGTGTGAGGTGGTAGAGAATAACCTCCGGGTCTTAGCCATACCCCTTCCTGGCTATTGCAGAAATTAACCCTATCCTGACTGGAATCAGGACAGAAATACGTGGGAAGAATCCAAACATCCCAACACTCAACACCACCCTACTTTACTTTTCTTAATTGGCCTTTTATATATGCAAGTTGTCAGACCAGAAAACAGTAATTTTTTCTTGTTTCAACCGATTTTATAGCTCATGTAAGTTTATTACATCACCATTAGGTTTGATTTGAATTTTGCATTTTCAGCATAGTCTACAGTAAAAAGCTTAGGAAAATTGTATGTATCGTATTGCCTTGCATTTGTGCCATCTGCTCTCTGTTGTTTGATTGGAGTAAAGTAATAGTGAAAGCAGTGTTAAAGCAACAGAAACACAACTATGTAGTACAGAGAAATAAAGCATTCCAAATTATTTTTTTCTTGGTGTGGAATATGTGATGTTGGTTTGTGTATACTTTTGGAGCGTTACTCCTGGAAGTAATGCATATATACTACATAATTAAGATAATTTGATTCATTTAGTGATTTAGAACTCATGAGAATAAGTAACAACTGATACTAACAATGACATGCAACTCCTGTGCTTTTGACATGTGAAACTATCAGTTTGCAAGTGCTGAAGAATTGGCTTCCTGACATTAGCATTATAAAATGATGTAATTGTGTAATCTTATAAAGAAACATTTTCAAGAATTCGTAAAAGGAGGAATTATTTGAAGGGTAGAAAGGTATATTAGTATTACCTTTTTGGGAACTGAAGCTTGAAGCCATTCAAAAAGTGCTGTAAAGCTTCCTTTTACAGCTGACATGTTAAGGGTAATAGTGTCTGTATGCTTCCTTGGTGTGGTCTCTTGAGTATCTCTGCAAACATTGGTGCATTCACACAAGTTCTAAACTTGATTTTTTACTTAAGTTGCTTTCTCATATTGGAAGGACTGTCATTTGTTTGCAGGGTAAGGTTACTAATAATTGAGAAACACAGATGTTAAAGTCTTAAAACTGTTCTGGAAATAATGTCTGATTTGGGTTGGCAGTGCTACCTTCTGTAGCACAGGTTGTGATGTCTGTACATTGCAATCTTGATTTCTGTAGGGAACCTCTAAATAAGTGTTTGTTGCTTTGCAGTAATCAGTGAAGCACTGTCAATTATATTTTGAATTTTTAGCTTTCATACAAAAAATTACTCTCTGAACCCTTGATACTTCTCCTAAAATTAGGGACAGATCTACTTACTGTGCCATGGCATGGAGAAATAATCTCTTCTTCTTGTGTTTGTAGGACTGTTACATGATGAATCTTACTCTTTTTGATGAAATTGGAGAGCCCTTCTGGTGTTTCAGTGCCCCAGTCTGCACGGAACTGTCTTCTAAGACATCTGGCCTTTATGATTACATGGGTCATATCTATACCACAAACTATGCAGATTCAGAGGGTAAAGTTTGTGTTAAGTTGGTATGGCTGGAAGAAACCAGGCAGTATATTATAGTCAACCTGGTGCTTTATGTAAGCACCGAAAAGGTAAATAATTGGTATGGAACAAATTACTGACTTAATTGGGTCACTAATTTCCTTGCTTTAAAAAACCAAACCAAACCAAAAAACACACTAAACCTTTGATGCTCATCGATACCAATGAGCACGACTGTTCCCGCAAGTTTTTCAGTAAAAAGTGCAATTGCATAATTTGTTTAATTGGTATTGGAGAGATCGAAGAGACCTATTGATATAAATGATAGTTCTTCTGTTCTGTTGAACATCACATGGTTAATCTGTTTCTGATACTGAGTATATTGAAATTATTTTTATGAATATTTATAGACACTTGTTGCTGTGGTTAAAAAACTGCTTCTTTTGAGAGCTGTACTTTGAAGATGCCTTATGTGATGTAAGCTGCAGTTTTTGAGAACATTGACTTTTATGCATAGTAATAAAACAGCATGTGTTTTGTTGCCTTCAGGTTTCTTGAAGTGTTATTGCTAAATGACAGGTTTTGTTAAATGCAGAAATATTTCCTTTTTTTTTTTCCCCCCAGAAAATACTTAAATATATTCTAGTAAAGGATTGAAAAGGTAGACAGGAAGTCACAGATCTGAACAATATGACAGTCAAGACATTTGTCAAGAAAATCACTTGTAATATCTATGATTACATTTCTTTAAATTCCTGTTTGTTCTCTTTTCCCATTTTTTAACCTTCTGTCTGATTTGAGCCCAGGTACTTGCCTCACGTATTGGCCTATGACTGGATCCCAATTATCAGCTCATCTGCTCGTACTGAATGTATGTAACATTCAGTTCTTTTGGAAACAATGCATAGCTGATACCGTTTGTTTAACAATACATATAAAAATTGAATGTGTCTGCCTGATCTTTCTGATTCCTTGGAGTAACTTTAGGACCATATTTTTTACTTGCTGTATTAAAAAAAAAAAATATGATATTGGAATTCCACTGTCATTACCTCTTGTGTTACAAACCACAGCAAGTTCAGTTTCACGGAATTCTGTTAAGAAAAATGAACAATTATATTGTTAACTGCTGTGATTTTTGTTATGGCAGTGATTTCCTTAAAGTCGCTCTTTTCTTTATTTGCTTACATCCATTAATTGGTTTGTGCAAGCAATGTTCGTATGTAAGTACTTGTGTTCCATGCTGCAGAGACGGCAGGGGATACATACCACTGCCATAAAGGTGTTTCTTAATGTAACTTTCCAAGATAATAAAGCTGAGGCTGATACAGCTCTAGCTCGCCTTGTGTAATCTTGTCTGAAGAAGAAGTGGAAATGTTTCTGTGTTTGGTCGTTAGCCAATATAACAAGCATGATCAGCTGCATTTCGTGTCCATTCTTACTGACTGCTGATGGTGACTGTGATCCCTTGAAGTGATATAAATGTTTTAACAAATGGACTGGGCACGACGAATGCCAGAACAACAGACACTGAAATTCATCTGAACAGACAAGTGGCCAGTCAAGCTTTTTTTTTGGCTGAAGTTAGACTTTGAGGTACCACCTTTTGCAAGGAAATGGAAGCGCAGTCCCAGAGCCCTCTCAGTCATTGGCCTCACTGCTAAGCCTGTAAACAAAGATGTACAATTATTCTGGCTGCACTGATCCTTTGAGATGTGCAGGTATGTTCTCGGACTTGCTGTAAAGCTACCAAAGTCAGTGGGCACTTAGCAGCCATAAAATGGTAAAAGATCTATCACTGCTCATTCTAGCTGAATTTTTGTTGCATTTCCAGTGTTTGTGGGTTTGGATTATTTAAAAATTAAAGTACTTCCTTTTCTTTTAATAAGCAATTGGTGTTTCTAAGGCATTGATGGTTTTATACAGTTGAATGTTTTATAGAAAGTTTCGTGCCACTGCTGGAAATGAAACAGGAGAGTAATACTGTCCCCTATCCCTAATATGCCACTTTAGTAGCCTGAAAGTTTACTAACTGAATTGATGAGGAAGAGGGTAAATCTTTAGCAGCACTGTCAACCTAAAAAGTGATACAAGGCATAGCAGAGTTTCCTGACTATTGCTAACTTGTGCTGTTCATAAACAACATGTGTATGCAGCAAACCCAAGCAAACTGTTCCAAGACCTTAAAAAATGGACCCAACTGTTGCAGAGCTGTTTCCACACATCTTTGCTGAAGGAAAGGACCGTAATCATGTGTTTTCTGAAGATATGAAGGCTAATAATCCCTATTTATGTCTTGAGATAGGCCTTAGATGGACCTAAACCTACTTTAGTATTTATGCCATGTGAACACTCCTTTGATTTCAGCTGACAGTTGCTTTTAATTGCACACACAAGTAATCTCGGTAATGACCACCTGTATCATCAAATCTGGAAAGCTGCATGTGCCTTCACTCAAACTGGCATTTCTTCAACATCTTCGTTTCTTTGCATAAGAAAGGAGATACACTAAACCTCCACAAAGAAAAGGGATTACATTAAGTAACTGCAGTGGCCCATTTAATGAAAGAAGGTATCTGTTCCAAAAAGCTACGTTTTGATAATATCTTCATCTAATCTTCTAAGTCCCCTTTTATATACCTATTGCAAAAGGCAGTAAGATGAGTTGCATGCCCCATTCTGCAATAAAAGATTCTAATGTATAAAAGGCAATTATTAAGACGAACAGGAAAAGTGGAGGCACCAGTTGAAATCTGATCATCAAAATACACAACTGATTGTGACACTAAGCCTTACAGCACATTTTTCCTTTAATGCCTCAGTGAGAGGAAGTATGAGCACTTCTAAGTGGGAAAAAATATGAAAGGTTTTACTTGTATTTGTGTACTTCAGGTAGCAACTCATCCAGTTAAAAGGAGAGCAGCCTCTAACAACTTCTAAATGTGTATGTTTAAGCAGTCTGCAACAGATAGAACTGTAATATTTTTAAAGGGTGATTTACCTGGTAGGCAAGCATAAAAACAGAACTTATGTTTATTTTATTGCAAATATAATAGTGTTCATTTAACATAATGAGCTTAAATTGCATTGAAAAGGAATCAGTTAGTATGAAAGAGTGATTTAATGAAAGGGCTTTTATGAGACTATTCCAACAGTGGAGAAGTTGTCTTTCTAATAGAACTGCATGTAAATGTTAATCCTACCACTTATCTTTGTTTTGCCAGATGTCTGCTGTGTACCTAAATACTTCCATATTCTGTGTTCTTTATTTTTTTAAAGAGGTATTTCTAAAGGGAGAAGGTTGTAAATGAGCAATTGATTAGTATTCTTGGACAGTTAATGCGATCTTCCATTGATAATAAGCTGGAACTGTGTTAGTTTATGTTATGTGAACAATTGTCTTTAATTTTAACACTGCCACTCTGGAGTCACTGCTCTTTACTGCAGTTGGCTTACTTTAGTGGGGAGCTAATAGCAGCTATATATTTTTGAAGTCTTTGTAGTGTAGGCGAGTAATCACAATATTTTTCTTCAAACTGGCCTTTCAGTTGTTTTGGTTTTTCTTCCCTTTTTCGATTTCTTTTAGAGAACCACCTCTATTACAGAACATTTGCTTTCATAGTGCATTTCTGTTCCAGTGTGCTTTTTATATGTGGAGTTTAATACAGTAAGCAGTTGTATGGTGTATAGCCTCATCATAGATTTTTTTTCCCCTGCCTGGTCTAACTCTGTCTATTTAGAAGGTATGTTTTGATTTGCATTCATCCATTAGATATTTAGGTGTGGCCTTGATTTGGTTGAAACTGGTCTCATTATCTCATGCTTGCTTTTTGAGACAAGGACTGTCTTCCTTTTTATTTTTTTAAATTTTTTTTATTCAGCTACGTAGCTGTTTGATACTAGTGATTGTGTACTTAACAAAAACATATGTATAGTATAAGAATATCATGAGCTAAAATAGATTAATAGTGTTTCAGATTAAGAATCTAGACAAGTGATCAACTTTTATATCTTCAATATATCTTAATGAGTTACTGTCCAGCAACAGTCATGTGGTAACCTGCTTTGTATTTATGAGATGTTCCAACTTATTCAAACAATTAGAAGGAGATTTAGGTAACAGCATTTGCTCTTCTGCCTTTCTGACATATTAGTACAGCTCAGCGGATACATGTTGTCTAATTAAGTTGTGATAACTAAATCTGAATTTAAACATAACTGTATTAGAAACTGCACAGATAAAACAGTGTTTCAAGAAGTTAAAATGAAAACAAGCTATGGGTTTTAATCTCTGGTTGTGTGTAGTGAGTTGTAGGGACATTAATATGAAAAGGTAAATCCTGTCCTTGTTTCCCGTCTCTTGCATCCATCATAAATCAAAATGGTAAATGATGGCAACAAGGAGAACTAGTGAGTTGGGTGTGGTGAGGAATTTATCAAATTGAATGTCAAAGCATTGCTCATTCTGTTCTTTCTTCAAATTCTAAGACATAAGAGAATTTCTCATGCTGTGCCTCTTAAAATGTTTGCAAGAAAGGAGTGATACTACTTTGTATTAATACTGCTTCAGTTGTAGAAGTGTTTATAATGAAGTTGAAAACTGTAAGGCTTTTAAACATACTGAAGACAGCTAAAGTAGGAGGTACTCTTTCTGGGTTTAAGTTGTTTATCTCCTTTGAAGAGGTTTCTCCTTTTGAAAGGAAATGCTTGTATTAGTCAGACACTGATCATCTGTTGGTAGGTGGAATTACTTTTGTTCTGCGTAAAGGCCACTTAGAATACGTGTTAATGATTATTTCCCTCCTTAATCAGTTAAAGTTAAAGGCAACTGTTTTGGTGTAAACTTATAAAAAAAATGCAAGGTAGGGAAGAATGTAATAGCTAGGTAATGTCCTGTTTATTCGCTGAAATACTATAAATCAGTTCAGTCTGCAGGGATTGTAAAGTATTTAGCTATCAAACAAAAAAAACCACCACCAAACCCCTCAAGCTAACATAAATGCTTAGTATGTCAGAGTTCAGTATCATAAGTATCTCTTCTGTACCAAAGATACAAAATACATATTTACAAATAAGGCAAAAAACCCTCTTGATGTTCAGAAGAATGTGGAAATAATGATTAAAGATTTAAGAAAAGCCCCAGGAACTTAGAAAGTATACTGAAAGCTCTCCATGTTTGGAAAAATCTGGAAAGAATGAATTAAGTAAATATTCTTATCCGTGATTATCATTGTTATTTGTTTTTTAACACCTCGATTTACAACTTCACCTTTTCTGATAGAAATGTGCAAAGAGTGTTTACCTAGTGAAAACGTTTAACATAAATCTTGAAAGAGGAAAAATACTCTGACACGAAATAATTTTATTCCAGGTTTGCTACCTGTATGACATGGTAGGTAAAAGAATGTTTTGAGAAAAAATCCTCATCATGGTAACTATGCCAGATGTCCACCGTGTTCTGTTCTAATGACATACATATATAAGGATCTTTGCAGTTTTAATTCTGTTGTACAGTACTTAGTGGAATATTTGCGTGTGAGGAAGGACAGAACTTTGTATCAGTGGTGTTCTGCTGTTCCTGAAAAGACATTTAATGAAGGTTAATGGAATAATTCAATTATTAATTTTTTAATTTCAAGTTTTGCATCTACTTTCATATATTGTAGGACATATGGTAAAGACTGAATTGGAAATACAGTGTCTTTAGGAAGTAGTGGAAGTAGTAGAACTAATTGACAGCCTGCTTCTTTTTTTAATCTCAGCATTTCAGTTTTACAACTTATATTTTCAAAGCATGAGTTGAAGGCATTTATTTTGGCCTTTAATTTTCACTAAGTTTTGTAACCGTGTAGGAATTTGTGGAGATCATGGATTCTTGCCCGTTTTTACTCAGTATGCCTGAAGCATCAAAAGGCAAGAATTGGGGCCCTAGTTGCCCTTGGAGATCTCTACATGTGGGTTTGTTTAGAGTACTCTTTCAAACTGAAGTGCTAATTAACCTGTTTGTTGTTGAACTTTATATCACAGAATCACAGAATATACCAAGTTGGAAGGGACCAACAAGGGTTGTTGAGTCCAACTCCTAGCTCTGCACAGGACCATCTCCAAGAGTCACATGAAAAAGCTTACGTTGTTCTATGCAGCTCTATTCTATTAAAATCCAACCTTCACTGGGTTCTTTCTCAGAAACATAAATTCAGAATGTATCCATTCCCGATGAGTACATTCATGCATTGCCTTATTTTCATTAGCCAGCAAACCAAACTGGGAAAAAATCTCCCACAAAGTTTATCGTTTTTGAGAGACAGAGGCTTTTTTTCTGGCATCTCCCCACAA